ATCTATCTATCTATCTATCTATCTATCTAATCTATCTATCATCTATCTATCTATCTATCTATCTATCTATCTATCTATCATCTATCTATCTATCATCTATCTATCTATCATCTATCTATCTATCTATCATCTATCTATCTATCTGTTATCTATCATCTATCTTCTATCTCCTTACCTACCTACATACATGTCATGTACCCACCCTTGTCTGTCAATCTACCATCTACCTCCTACACACCCTCTGTCATCTGTCCATCCCTGTCTATCACCTGTGTGTCATCTGTCTGTCTGTCTCCCTAACTACCTGCCTTTCATGTATCCATGCCTCTCCTTCTCTCTCTCTGTCTCTCTCTGTCCACGTGCCCCCGCTCGCTGTCCCTCCCTGTCTCTCTCTGGTCCCCGAGGCAGCCCGGTCTCCAGCCTGCACCTCGCACCCTGACCCCCGTCGCCCTGTCCCTTCCCCGACTCTGGGCCATAACCCAGCTCTGCATGTCCCCAGGAGGTGGCGTCCTGCTGGCCGAGGCGGTCCTGGAGGAGGGACAGAGCGTGCCCAGGACAGGCGTGACCCAGCCCCTGGGTGAGAGGCGGCCGAGGAGCCTCGGCGAGTACAGAGTGCTGCTGGCCCGACACGGCTTCGGGGACCTTCAGGTGGCGCGTGTGGGAGGCACCGTGGCTGCCATCCTGGGCACCCGCGTGGCCCCATGAGATGGACAGCAGACCAACATTCCCACAGCGGCAGACCTGTGTGCAGGCGCTGGGCCACCGCGTGCAGGACGAGCCGTGAGGGAATACAGACCACCGAGGTGCTGGGCTACAACCCCAGGCTTTTCCAGAGTGGCCAGAGACGCTGGCCGGGAGAGGCCGTGGGACACGGAGCCAGCTGTGGGTGCAGCCCAGGCCTGCCCTCCGGGACCCTTCTCTGATTCTGGGGCACGTGCATCCTCCTCACGGCCTCTTTTGGGGAGAGGTGTTTGCTCCAGGGCACGTGCATTCCCCGGAGAGACAGAGAGACAGGAAGTGAGAATCCCCCCCTCAGGGGGATGGCCATGCCACAGCCCCTTCTCCTCCATTCTCCTCTTGGGATCTTGGGCACGCACGCACATGTGCCTGGTGTGAGTTTAAGCCACCGGGTCCGGGACTCGAACTGCAGCCAGCCAAAGTGGGAAGCCAGTGCCTGGACCACCTGCCGGCCCCTGAGCTGGTTTTCCTATGAGCAAATAAAACATACATCTCCCGGCTGTCGGGCCACTCCAAGCATGTAGCCCTGTGTGGGTGGGCATTGAAACATTCGTGGTAACTAGAAAAAAACACCCTACCCAGGCTTTTCAGACAGGCTCTGGGGTGGGTAGTTTCAAAAGGCAAAACTACGGGGGAGTTGAAATAGTTTGGGGCTGGCTGGTGGCGTGCTGATTAAGGACACTGGACTCCCACATGGCCGACTACAGTTCAAGTCCCGGACCTGGCGGCTTGCTTTCTCGCTCTCCCTCTCTCTCTCGCTCTGTTTCATTCGCTCTCTGCTCAAATTAAAATAAAGTTAAATAAAATCATTCTTTAATAAAAAATATTATTTTTTACTTGTTTCTAGGATATGCAACACTTTTTTCTTTTTTTTTTTTTTTCAATTTGCTTGGGGCCATTTGCTCTTACCAGGGAGGGACAGACGGACAGACAGCATGAGGGAGGGAAGCTGGACCCTCCCTGGGGCACGGTCACTCTGCAACCCCCCACTCTCCCTCCTTTGGGACTTCGGCAGGCACACACACACATCTCCACTGTGTTTGGAAAGCTGCCCTGTCCAGGACTTGAACCGTGCAATTGACCAAATGGGACTCAACCTCTGTACATAACCCGCAGGCCACAGGCTGGCCCCCACCCGCTCCTATAAAACCCCCCGAGCGTCCCCAGACGTTGCCCAGAGCTCGGCTTTGCAGACAGAGCAGGCCTCAGGACAGGACGGCAGAATGGCATGAGGGGGCCCTTGCAGCCCGTTCCCTTGGAGAGCTCAGAGCAGAGGGCACGCCCTCGCCCAGCCGCCAGCGCTGGCCTGCGTGGGGTCTGGCTTCACCTCTCCCGCCGTGTCTCGGGAAGTCGGGGATCCACGCCCGTTTCTGCGTGGAGGCCTGCAGATGAGCGAGAGAGACCGGTCTAGGTCTGGCGTGTGCAGGAGTCTGGCCAAACCGACGGCCCTGGCTGAGGTTCCCAGCGTGAATGTTTGGGCGTTTCCTGCCGAGAACAAGGATTGCAGGCCAGCCAGCGTGTGGAGGGTCGGGTGCCGGATCCCACAGACTGACCAGTTCAAATCCTGAACCTGGGGGCTTGAAAACAACTGTTGGGACCAGCAGTTAGCGTAGTGGCTACATCGCTGGACTCCCACGTAGTCGACTGCGGTTCGTGTCCCGGACCCGGTGCCTTAAACTCACACTGGGCATGTGTGCGTGCGTGCCCAAGATCCCGAGAGGAGAATGGAGGAGAAGGGATTGCGGTGTGGCCATCTCCCCCCGGGGGGGGGGGTGATTTCTCGCTTTCTGTCTCTCTGTCTCTCCCATGAGTGTGCACCCTAGAGCAAAAATCTCTCTCTTAAAAAAAGAAAAAGCAAAGGGTGGGGCGAGCAGGTGGCATGGCAGTTAAGACACTGGGTTCCACGTGGTCGACTGTGGTTCGAGTCCCAGATCCGGTGGCTGGAACATTGTGCTGGGCACGTGTCCAAAATCCTGAGAGGAGAATGGAGGATGGATTGCAGCATGGCCATCCCCCATGGGGGCTGGGTTCTTACGTTCCCTCTCTGTCTCTGTGGTGAGCCCATGCGCCTTGTAAGAAAAATATCCGTGTGGAACCTAGAGTCCAAGCAGGTTCTAGGCCCCATGTGTGTCCTTCTTTATTTCTTTTTAAAAAGAAGTATTTAACTTTATTATTATTTTTGAATTTTGACCTGAGAGAGACAGAGACGGAAACTCAGAAAGCAAGCCACCAGGTCTGAGACCCGAACCACCATTGACCATGTGGGAGTCCAGCACCTTAACCACCAGGCCACCTTAACCACTGCCACCATTTTTAGTGGTTGGGAGTGAACACAAACCACACAGTCCTCCCTACGCCGCCCTCGCTCCAGCCCTGAGGTGCCAGGTCCACTTCCCCACGCTGCCCGCTGGGACTGTCTCCCGGGCCCATAGCGTCCCGGGTTTCCCGGTGTTCAACTTGGTGTCCTCCGCTGTGTGTGTGCCCTAGCATGCCCGGGGCGGAACTGCCCTCCCAGCCCACACGGCAGGGGTGAGGGGCCACTGTGCCCTTTGCTAGAAAAAGCTGGGCCGGGTTAGCCGACCGGAAGATACCTCCCTGGGAGGTGCGGGGTCCCCCATGGGCCGCCCAGAACGGACCCCCAGGGCTGCAGAGCTGGCAGCCGGGCTGACAGAGGGGTGTCTGTGTGCCTGGCACAGGGAAGTGGCTACCGGGTGCAGGTTCCCACAGAGAGAGGGCTTGGAATGCAGAAGGCCCCATTCCAGGTGACTGGCTTGTTCTGGAAGGAAGTGAGCGGCTTCAGCCAGTTTGCCTGGGGCTGGGGCTGGGGTTGGGCTGGGGCTGGGCTGGGGTGGGGTCGGCCAGCCACCTTCCCAAAGCCCTTCCCAGCCGGGAGCAGCTGGACACCTGCAGCCAGGAGCAATCTGCCCACCCTGCCCAGAGCCCACGTCCCCCAAGCCCACCTTCTAGCCTGGGCCCCGGTCCCCCAGTGACATGCTCTGTACCCTGTCCGCTGAAGCCTCTAGAATGTTCTGGACCCAACGAGCCTTACCGCAGTCACCTGCCTGAGGCTACAGCTCACCCTGTCAGCCAGGCCACAGTGGCCTGCAGCCCTGCCTGCCCTCACCTGCCCCTGCAGCCCTGCCCGCCCTCACCTGCCTCTCCCCAAGGTCAGGATGGAGTTGGGAAGGGAAAGGGAAGGTGTTTCCAAGGACAGTGGTCAGGTGCCCAGGCCAGGGGGCAGGTTCCCTCCCGTCCAGGGCAGATGTTCCAGGGAGCGGGGCCTGCTGGGGGCACATGCACCCCCCTCCAAAAAAAGGGAAAAAACCCAAGGGGAAAAAGAGAGGGAGGAAGGGGGAGAGGAGGGGGCAGAAAGAGGAAGGGGGAAGAAGAGGAGAGGGAGGGAGGGAGAGAGCAAAAGCAGGGAAGGGGGAAGGAAGATAGGAAGGGAAAGACAGATGGAAAGGTAGAAAGAGAACCTGGCAGGCGAGGAGGGACAGAGAGCTGAGAACCCGCAGACATAAAGTGGAAAGAAAGGGAGAGTTGGGCCTGGAAGAGGGAGGAACCCCTGACCCGAGGCTCACCCTGATGGCTTTTAGCCCTACCAGGACGGCCTGAGCCGAACCTCGGGACCCCGGGAAGTGGACAGAAACTCCAGGGGCCTGCTGCTGCGCCATGTGCTCCAGAGGGTGTGTGTGCACCCTTCCGTGCGCACCTGGGTGTGCGTGCATGCACCCGGCGGGTATGCTGTGTGCATGCGTGCCACCTGCTGTGTCTACCTGGGGGTGTGCACACCCAGGTGTGTGTGGCCGCCTAAGCGTATGTACCTGTTTCCGAGTACACACCTGGGGGTTGCGTGTACCTGACATGCGTGCACACCTAGGCGTGTGTACCTGTGTTTACAGCTGAGTATGCATCTGGGGGGTGTGTACTTGTGGTGTGTGCATAGCTAAGCGTGTGCACCTGTTTCCGCCTGAGCACGCACCGCAGGGTGTGTACCTAGGGCTGTGTGCTCCTGTGTTTTCACCTGAGTAGGCACCTGGGCGTGTGTGCACCTGGGGCTGTGTGCACTACTTGCAGGTGTGCACACCCGGGGGTGCACGCGCCCCTGGGGGTGCAGAAAGGCAGGTCATGAGGACTTTGCACCCCCTCGACCCTATCTGAGCGTCCTGCCTGGCTGGGGAACCCCTGGGTGGGAGGGGAGTAAAGTGACCCACGGTTAGGGGCCCCAAAGTCAGAGGTCAAAGGAGCATCAGCGCAAACCCAGCCACGGGCCTTAGTCCACAAGCTCCACCAGCCCAGCCCCATAAACTGTAAGCAGTAGAGGCTCCGAGAGCCCAAGTGTGGGTGTTCGGGACCCAGGGCGCCGGGAAAAGGTCAAGGGTCGGGGCGCCACGTGCCACGCATGCGGACGCGGCCTCCGGGGTAATAGGTCGTTCCTCCTTGCGGGGCTGGGGCGCTCGAGAACCGGCTGGCAGCTCCGCAGCCCCGGCCCGGTGCGCTCCGCCCGGGATGACGCCGTGACCTTCTCAAGGTCACCGCGGACACCGAGCTCCGGGCCGGCACGGCGCATGGGCGGACCCGGCTCCCGGCCGGCTCCGGGGCGGGGCGCGGGCGGCA